TTATTATTGGTCTAATTTACGTAATTTGTTCTCAAGTTCATGCATAAATCACCAAATCAATTGAAAGATGACCAAGTGTTCAATGCATTAAGTTCAATAATATAAACTCATCATGCGAATAATTTTAATTGAAAGTATAAATTTACAAAATCTATATTAAATTGATGTACCCTTAATAAAATAAATTAGTTCATGATAAAAATAATAAAAGCAGAAATTATAGTTATGAACATTTGAATATCAAATGATAGATGAAAAGAATCTAAGGAAAAACAAAACTAAATTTGAGGAAGTTGAAATTTTTGATATTCTATTATTGATAGGCAAAATCCTCAAATTCACCCTAAAAAAATATCAATAAGGACACATCCACCCCTAAAGAAAAAGTAGGGACAAATTTCCCCTTCAAATCATAAATCATTACAAATCACCCATTTTTCAACGAAAAATGTCAGAATTCTGTTTGTCACGTTAGCATTTTTTAATGAAAAACGTTGAAAAAGAGGTGATTTGTATTGATTTATGATTCGGAGGGGTAATTTGTCCCTGTTTTTTTTTTAGGGGTAGATGTGTCTCTACCGATATTTTTTTAAAGTGGATTTGAGGGTTCTGCTTTATTGATATATCTTCTATCTTGATTTCTAAGAGTGCCTAAAGAGGGCTGTTATCAACTGTCAAAGCTCTCTAATTCTGATTTTAGATGAATATTTATAGGATTTTAGAAACTCTAATTAGAATAGAAGTGAGACCCATGTTTAAAATAATAAATTGAAAATCATAGAAGGGGTCAAAACCTTCAAATAGGTGCTGACAACTTCTGTTAAGCGCACATTCACATCACCGTATCGGGTTTTTGGCCTTCCAAGCCATATCTATTAATAGTAAAATAACAGTTTTGGTCCCTTAATTTTTGGATTTCACACAAATTAATCTTCTACTTTCTGATCTTTGCAATTTGCTTTAAAAAATTATGATTTCTTTCAATTAAGTCATTTCCTACACAAAAAAAAAAATTTATATAAAATAAAGTAAAATCTAATCAAATTCATCCAAATATCAATAATATCAAGGTAAAAATTTGACATTAATGTTTATAAATTTAGCTCATCAAGAGTCCTAGTTGAGCATTGTTTCATTTTTTTCCAAAACTACTAAGCAGTATTATGGATGCATAAAGCAAGTTATAAAATGCCTTTGCTTACTTGTTTGATTCCTCATCCAAAGGTTGGTTTGGAAAATTAGTTTCTATTTCTTCATACTCATCATCCTTTGGATAAACTGCATCATACACCATCTCACAAAAGTCATTTGTATCATTAATGGTGTGCATTAATAGTGTGTGATGTCTCACTTAGATTAACAGTAGACTATGGGCATGTTGAATCCAAAAACCTTTCACCGTGAAACCTCCATATAGAATAAACATTCATAAAAGCATTCAAAACAAGCTGATCCCACATATTCCTAGAGGTATCATCGACAAATTCAAGCATTTACTGCAAAGACATTTGATCAGGTCATTGGGTCCAAAACCTAACCTACTGTATGCAAATTGAATGAAAAAGTCAATTTCATTGTAGAAGTTGTCATGTATTTCTCTGTGAGGAGCTCAATGTCTATACATTCAACTATGAACATCTGTCATCTTATTAAAATCAATGAAACCAAATAACAATATGATTAGTTTAAAACAATTACAATATTTTTCATATATTTCAATGTTCATTCACTTAAATTAATATATCATATTTTATATTAAATTAGTAATAAATTCTCATCAAAATAATTACTCTTAAAAATAAATAAAATATATTATACATTTTAAATATATATTACTAAATTGTTATATAAAATCTTAAATTCAATCAAAAAAAATTTTTCGTACACAGATTTTTAAATTTTCTTTTAACAAAAAATAAAGGATTAACTATACAAATATAGCAATATGGTAGAAAGATAAAGACTGAAAGGTTCAATATCTAAATAAAAAAACAATGATTAAATTAATTATATATACAAATAAATTATAAAAATTTTACTAAAATCTAAAATAACTTAAACATATGGCCGGTATGCTGTTGTTGGAGTTCGCTGTTGAGGGTTGGAATTTACAGGAGAACGTCCCTAAAACTTACCCAAAAGAACAAATTGAGCAATTTTAAAGTCAAATAAATCAACCACAATGCTTGATGGTTTGATTACAACAAAGGAAATATAAAAAATTAAGTATTATTCGAATTCAACACAAAAAATATAACAAAACTTTGAAAAATCGCCGAAACCTCACTCACCGGCGCTTGATGTACTGATTTGGAGAAGAAAAATTGCCAAGACTCCCTTGTTGGCTTGCCAGAAATGGAGGAAGGTGAGTTTTGTGGCTGAGAGAGTAAAAAAGAATGACAGGGGAGGTATAGACCTACTTTTAGTCTTTTACTTTAATAAATTTGTAAGTTTTAGTCATTTAACTTATATTATGACACTTTTATCCTCTTTACGTATAAAAATTGAAAAAAATAACCTTTATTTATTGCTATCTTAGCTGACTGTTAATTTTATTAACTAACTATTAATTCTGTTAACTGATTATTAGTATTCTGTTATAAAAAATATAAAATTTACATTCAATTTTATTTGTGTTTAATTTTATTTGTTAGTTTTATTAACGAAATGTTAATAATCAATTAACAATGTTAACAATTAATTAACAAAACTAACAATCAACTAATAAAACTAACAAAACGTTTTAATTTGATGTTAAGTAAAGATTATTTTTTTTAATTTATATAAGTAAAGAATTAAAAATGTTATATTATAAGATGTAAGGTTAAAATTTATAAATTTATTAAGATAAATAACACAACTAAGTAAAGAGGCTGGTTGTTTAAGGGACCATTGCTTGGGACTTACTGATGTGCTTCACATTGGTAAGTCCAAAGCTGCGCGGGTCTACACACCGTCTGGCGGTCAACAACTGAAAAGCTGCAGGGGCACAAATTCCTACCTAGACTTACCGACGTGATGTACATGGTACATTGATACCGACATGTTACACATCTCCAAGTTTGGGTTTGATTGTATGCTATTTTTATATATGACCTGAGTAATGTTGAAACTTAGACACATCGGTATTTTTATAATTTACTAATGTGGTAGACATTTGAATATTAAATAATGTTAATTTTGAGCATTTTACCGTTTGGCAACATAGAAATATTGATGCCGTCAGTAAATGGGCATTTCTACCCACTAGTTAATACCCACTAGTTATGTTGCGTCGGTGAGATTTTGAGAGTGATTGAAGGTTATTTAATAGGAATGTGGTTAGCAAAATGGTCCCTTTTTTTCCACGCATTATATTGTTTTTAACAATTAATTTTTTGGCAACTTAAAATTATTCTTCTGTCATCAAAAGGACCATTTTCATTCCAAAATGAAAAGCTATGGGACTAAAAAGGTTCCAAAAGGAGTTCAGGGATAATTCTGGCACCAAATAAAAAGGTTTAGCGAACAAAACAGTATTAAACCCTTCCTTTTATTTTATCATCAAAGCAAATATATTATCCAAGTTCGGTGGATGTTTATCTTCTTTCTTTCTTATTTTATAATTTTATGAAATGCGTTCACTTTTGGTTCTTGTGCTTTGAAACTAATTCTTCCTTCTTCTTAACCGTCGCTTGTTCATTGCAGTGGTAGGACACCAACTGAATCTAGTAGGCCAATTGATTGCAGGATTTGTATTATCACCTGGTATTGGTATTATTGGTAAGCAACAACGTCCGCTCAGTTAGCCATATTAGTTTAGAAAATAATTGATTTACTCTCTTATTTGACACACCTTTCAAAACTTACTTAGTTTAGTCATTAAAATATAATATAAATATAATCAATTTTGTTAGTTCTTGCATGTCATATATATAACTATATCTTTAAGTTTGTCTATCTTTAATTT